ATTTTAATTTGTTTAAACTTTTCTGTCATTGTAGTTTTGGCTGTGCTCTGTTTTAATGTTTTTCTATGAACTGCCGGGTCCCATGTTGGGGAGGAGGTGGGCTATAAAACTGAGAAATGCTCAAACCAAACCATACGCAACCGTTAAAAACAGAGCATTTTACTCAAGCTACTATTTAGATCAAGATTTTAGATTTTGAGTACATCTGTCAATGAAGCAATAATTGCTAATCACACTTAAAGAGATATTATGTGTTGCAAGAGGCAGTAATAGTTATATACATCTTCTACTGAAAGCAGTTCTATGTGAGTTGATATAATCTGCAGAGCTACTCGGAGATGGTTTTGTTATGGATTTGGGTAGACATCTGACATGTAGTAGAAGTTCTTGGTCCAGCAAGTGATAATGCCTGCTGAAGCCTGGATTGTATGCAACTTGCTGACTAGTAAATTAGCTTAGTAGGAGTGGGTATGTACCACTTCTTATCAATTGGTTTTGTGGCATTCTTTAAGTGACATTCTTTAAGTGGCCCTGATGACAATATAATCACAGTCTGGGAAACCTGTAGCTTTCGATTAGCTGAGGGTGCGCAGTGAGTTGGTTGAGTGGAACTGAAATCTGGTGGTATTAGCATAAACCTGGTGTTTCAGGGTGAAGCCTTGGATACGAAGCTTTTCTGGCTATGCTTTGTTGGGCCTGCTTTAATAATGGAAAGGATGAACACTCAAGAATGCAAATGGATATGACGGAATTGTTTTTTTAAAAAAATCAAATGTGATAAGTTGCCATCAACGGCTAATTCTCATTATATAGCTTTTAAAGCCAATTTCCTTTGATTTTAAATGAAGGAAATTATGGTTTATTTAAAACGATAGGAAAAAGCTGTCTCTTTATATATGCAAACAAAGGACTTAATTCTTTGTAGTTAGCTTAGCTATTAAATATTTTCTTTACAGAAAATACAAATTTAATTAAAAAAATCCTCTGTGACTTCAAGGGTGCAGGCAATAAGCATAATATTTTATGAAAATGACCCTCATATTTAATATCTGGAATTATATGTTATGCATTGTAGCACCAAGTCCACATCTACCTTTTAGAAAATTAAAACACATAAATTCTGTTTAGTGTTTGATATGCACTGTACTAGCTGAAAGCTATAATGGCCCTAAAACCTTGGGTTGCGTTTCACCTTTCATAAATTCCTGGGTAGATTCTATACAAAAAATAATTTTCAGCTCCGTGGCTCATTGTTATTCAAACGTGATTGATTGTCGTCATTTATTCAGTGAGGAAGTTAAGTGCTCCTGTCATTTCCAAAGAGTATAATTGGGACGTTTCACAGGTCAGTGCTAGTGACAGGTTTCCCTTTTGATTAGTGTTGGACTGATAACAAAAATTACAGTTTCCAATGATTAATGCTTCCTGTAGGGCCTAAATGTGCAGCTCATGGATTGCGCCTAAACAAAGTGAATTTGCATCCTACAATTTCTCTTCTTGGGAAATCTTCGTGAGGGTCTCAAAGTTTGAGGCCCTGCAAGTGTGCAGAAATGCTGAACCTGCCTTGTATCAGATTCTTGCACTGAAAGGCACAGATTGTGATTGGGCTTCATTGTGTACAGTGTGTCTTAAATTAATTCTCTTCATGGATGTATAAACTGAAAGATGTTGAAAGCTTTTTTTAATGAGTAACATTTTACTGTTTTTTTTCCCAAATTGGTCCTCAATTTGTAGGATCTTATTTTCTGAATCCCTCTCAGATTGCTCTTATAGTTTAATTACAACCTTAGTTAAAGGCAGGTAAATCTCATTACACTGTTTGCATCTTATCCATAAATTGATACAATATTTTCAGCATTTTCAGATAAACAAAGAATTTTTCGGGCAGCAATTTTGGTTTAGCATGTTTTTTTTTTTAAGATAATGTTTGTCAAAATTTTGCTATAATAGAATCAACCTTTTAATTAAACCACTTGTAATTTTTAGAAATCAAATTTATAGAATATAGTCACCTCTCAGCACAAATTCTCCATGGCTTTGAAATGTTGATATACAATGTACTAGAATAACAGGGCTCTCCGTAACTGGTAAAGGAACACAGGGAAACTCTCATTACTTTATTGTAGATAGTGAATTGATTTTCTGCCATTGTCAGTACAATGTTCAACATTTTTTTTTAAAAAAGGTATTTAAAATAGCCTTTTGAATAATGTATTTCATGGTTTTCTTTTACTCTAAATGTCTTCTTTTTTTAAAAAACCCTCAAGATCCATGGGTTTATTAAAAGCATAATTGAGAGTAATATTGAAGAAAGTGGACTGTTGATGAATTGACTAACTACAGGGTGCCTGATTCTAAAGCCTGATATAAATGTTGTGGTTTTGATTCCTTGCATAACAAATGAAAGCTCGAGCAGAATAGATGTGCATCAAGTGCTCCAATGTTGAGTTGTCCCTGCAAACAAAATGGAGCAAAGCGAAGTGGCAGGAGCAACTGAAGCAGATGTAATTTCCTGAGCCTTCTTCAAAGGCAGCAATGTAACACAGATGTAGCCAGAGTGTGCCAGTTTTGCCTATTTGGGATTAGCTGCAAGTTGGCATGTAGTCTCAAGCTGTTTGGGCTCCTGGTGAAATTCTTATCCCAAAAAGCAAGTGTGAGTCCAGAAGCAGATATATGAACTGGGTCATTTGAAGCGAGAACAGTCTTGAATACCCAATCCCAGACTGACTTCTATGCTGCTTAGCCATGCAATTGGGTGTTCTTTGGACTGTTGATCAGGTTATTATATCCAACCCATCACAGACAATACCTCATTGTTGTTGTTAATGTTGTTTCTATCCCACCTTTCTCCCCATTTGGATTCAAGGTGGCAAACAATACCATGACACCGATAAAAATGTAAAACAAGACAAAAACAAAAATTTAAAAAGCAATTAAGTCTTTATTCCATGGTTATAAAGTTGAAATACAGTTAATATACAATAAGTAAAATTATATTTAAAGCACAGATCCCCCCACCCAACTTCCCCTGCAGCCTGCCTCTCATCTTCATCCATATGCTAGTAGACGTGACTTGCAGATTCTCAAGTTGCTCCTGACATGAAATAAAAAAACAAAAACAAAAAAAGATTTCTAACAGATTCATAGAAAAAGGTAAGATCCTTCAAGTAATCTGGTCCCTAGCCTAAACCAGCACTTTGAATTATGCCTAGAAATGGGTTGGCAGCCAATAGAGCTGTTCCAACAGGGGAGTTATGTACTCCTTGTAGCCATCACAGTTAATAACCTCATTAATATGGAAGGGGATAAGAAAGTATTATCGATGTATTAATGTATATTATTCATTACCATTATTAATTAAAATTATAGCTTGTTTTATTTAATTTAGTCTGTTTTGATGGTGACTTATGGTTGCAGTTTTAAGGTTTTTCCATATTTTGTTTTCACTGTAACTTAGATTTGAACCTTAATTATTCACCTTAGTTGCTTGAACAGATAAATGTGTGTAGTGATGAAATTTGTAGCCTGTATAAAATCATGTATAAACTTGTAGTTTTAGGACTAACCAGGCATGGCTTCAGCCCCCCCTCCCCCGAAATTCTGATGGTGGTCCGCGAGAAGGCCTTACTGGTACATTATTTAAACTGTTATGTTTATTCATATCATGATCTGATCACCATTCTCAATATATCCCATATGCATGGGGGTATTGGGGTAACAATACAAAAGGTTTGCTAGGGTAGACCCTCTTTCACTCAGACTCAGCCCCCCCCCCCCCCGAACCAAACTCAGCCCCCCCCCCCAAAAAAAACAAAAACAAAATCCTGGCTACGGGCATAAGACTAACAGTTGACTTGAATGTTAGCCTTTAAGGTTTAGTAGCCTAAAGTTTACTAAAAGAAACCTTCTTTTGTGGGCATTTCATGCCATGTTGCCTGTGACTTACTAGTCATACTTTCATTTTTCAGGCAAGCAAATTTCAACCACCGATGGTGGGATCATGTGAATCTATGTTAAGATAGTTCTTTTAACACCTTTCTCTCTAATTTGGGGACATGAACCTTTTACTGTCTTTCCTTGGCATTTTTTTAATTCAGCAGTTTTTGGAGTCTTTGCAATTCATAAGCAATAGCTAGTGGGTATAAAATTTATGAATCAGCTGACTTTTTGCGTTCATTTTAAAAACATCATTGCTTGTTGTTTGTATTCTTTATTCACTAGTAATTTCAATCATTTTTTCTAGTCAAAAGGCATAATGAGGGTGTGTACAAGTAAGATATTGCCAGTAATGCTTTATGTAAGGTTGCTGTCACAAGGTAATTATGTAAACAGCACATCATCAATAGAAAACAGAATCTTGTTGTTACCTCTAAAGCTAATGAGTGTATTTCAGCATGCGCTATTTCTGGCTATTTTCCAATTTCTCAGGTGCATCATATTATTAAGTAGATGGTTCATATTTTTCCCATATTCACTGAAGAAAACCCTGATATTTTGTTGGAGTAGTCATATATGTAAGATATAATTGAAAGGTAAGTTTTAGAGGATGGTAAAGAATCAGATGGTAGAGGTCTTCAGTAGTGATGTTTAAACATGGCTTTCTATAATTTTTGTTGACATACATTGGTTTTTTACATTTTTATTTAGAGAATTTTACCCCATTTCTCAGTTACAAAGGCACTCAGAGCATCTTACAAAATTTTTAATTTGCTTTCATGCTTACAATGTACATTAATGAGATCAATTTTTATTAAATAAATATTATATAACACACAATGTAGCTGTGTCTTTCTGGCTGCCTCACTCCCATTCATTAGCCAGCGGTTTGGCAGTTGAAGGTGGCAATAGGCACTCTGAACAGTTCACAATATATTCATTAAATATAATAACTCTGAATATTACAGTTAATGTTGGAAATAAAGTAGAATGGCAGATATTCTGTTGCTAAATGCATGTGTTTAGTTTTGCATTACTTCTTTAATACTTTGGACTTTTTTTAGAGGAAAGCTACAGATGAGGATGAGGAAGAAGAGGAAGACGATGACTTCATAGAAGTGCCTGAGAAGGAGGGCTATGAGCCCCACATTCCAGATCATCTTCGTAAGGAATATGGTGAGTTTGCCCAGCTGTGAAAAGCTTCATCCCTGCATGTTACTGCTGCAGTAAAGCAAATAAACAGCCATTATGAGGTAATAAAGTGATCAGTGGTGTGGGTAATCTCTCTGACTGCTGTGAGGAAATCATTACAGAGATAGGGAGGGAGCAAAAACCAGCTTTGAAGAAGCAAATATTCTCTTGAAGGCAACTTGATTTTGAGACTTATTTTAGTGACTCATATATGTTTGAGCATAACATCTGTGCACATTAAAAAGTAATAAATAATTAGAGAGCTTCTGTTTTAGTGCACCAGCAATCGAGGGGTTCCATTCAAATCCCAGCATAAAGAGTACCATGAAAATGTTGAACAGAGCCAACCCATGAAGAAAAATACTCCTTTATTTAAACTCTTTAGTCTTGTTTTTCAAATGGTTGGCGGGGGGGGGGGGGGGGGTATTCCCATTTGTGCAGGGCTAGTGCTTACTCCCAGCTAATGCACATTTCAGAATATGTTATTTTTTGACCTGTTGTCCTTCAAACTGTACCTAGTTTAAAATAAATGTGAAACCCCATCTCTTCCAGCAGACCTACCCAGCCAAATTTTAATCACAAATTTTAAACTTGTGTCTTATGTTTAATCTTTGCTCTGTGTATTTAAATGTATTTTGTAGAAGTTCGTTTTAATATGTGTATGTTATAGAGTGATTAGATGATTATAAGGAAAAGTGGATAAGAAATAAAAGTATTATTCTTACGTTATATTAGAAGAAACTTATGTAATAGGAAGTTAAAATGTTGATATCCTGTTAGCAGGTTGGGTGGCTAACATTTTACTACACAAGAGGACAATGAAAAATGCTGCGTAGAATTGGGACATCTTTGCAAGAAACTTTTTTTCCCCCTGAGATGCCACCTTCTTGCAGAAAAACAAGGCTGAAGCATTTTCATTTGTGTGTACAGGGACATTCTTTCTCAGTGTCGCAGTATTTATCTATCCAGAAGAAGGGAAGATATAGTGATCTTAATATCTGATCCCACATAGGCAAGCCATGTTCTATAAAACCTCATGTGCATGGAGTATGTCTTGTATTAGTGTTGACACCAATTTTTCAGGATTCTTTTCATCAGGAAGACTTATATATATCCCAGTTTTCACAGAACCAGATTTAATTACCCTGTCCTATTGCGAAAGCTATTAATATAGATTTCTGACCTTCACGCATTGTCTTCACATCCTGCTCTGAATGGAATTTCCATTAAGATGTACATGTTCATTAATGATCCTTAAAATTCTATATACTTGCTATCTTATCGAATATTAGCTGCTGTATACCTAAACAAAACTTCAGTACTCAGTAACTGGAGCCATGCAGAGGTGTGGTTTTTTTAGATATGACAATTTTAAAAATCATTTCAATATAAACCTAATTTTTAAAATGTTCTTAGTCCAGCTCTATACTACTTACAGTATTTTACTACTGACTCCCAAAACACATTGATATTTATGGTTAGCCTTCTGTATAGAACCTATATAGCACAGTGTTGTGTATGTTGTTCAGATGTAAGTCCCACTGTATATGGTGAGGCTGAATTTAAGGAAGTGTGCACAGAATTACAGGGAAGTTAAGTGTTGCAGATACTGCCATCTCACTTAGTTTGAATGAAAGGTGGTTATAATTGCAAAAACAAAACCACGAGGCTTCAAAACTAACGAAGTTCAAAGCCCAATAGTATTATGGATCTAGGCTTGAAAACATGTGGTTGCACTTATTTTAATTGAGCAAAGGTAGTTGGTTCTTGAAACAAGAATATGAATCATTTAATATTGAAAGGGAAGCCGTGCTTAGGAAAAAGGAAAGAAAAAAACACGCTACAACTGTACTTTCCCACCAAGTTGCGTATGTGGGATAAAGGCAAAAAAAAGTCTGAAGTATGGCCAGTCTTTGAGGAGTTTAATTTTTTATACGTGTTCAACCCTGTTGATTAATCAAGGGAGATTTTTGAAGGTTTGCTTAAAACCCTCATCGATTAATGGCACCAATTAATCAATTACAATCAATTACACCTTTCAGCTCCTTATAAATTTTACTTTCAGGTGGATCAAGCTTTTCAGTTTTTTGAGCGTTATAAAGATTCTAGTTGGTTTTTTGACTCTGCACTGATTTGGCAACTTGAAGACAATTGTGAAACTGATCAGTTTATTTTTATATGTAGATCAACAAATACTCAAGTAATGCAGTTACTGCTATACTATTTGTTTAATATAAAGCCAACTTTCTGGTGATATTTACTCATGGCATTTTGATGGTCAAGATATTTGATTTGATTTGCTAGAGGCAGAAGTAAACAATCCTCACTGTCTAGTGACACACATGGCTCACCAAATATTTATCTTCATCAGATGGAATCTTGATTCATTGCACAAAAACTAAAAACAGTAGCACAAAACAAAGTTCACAGAATTCAACCTTGCTAGAACCTTTTCTCTTATTTTAAAACAGAGTTTCTCCTTTTCATCTATGTTGCATAATATCTTCTTATGAAGAAGTTTTTGATGTTGCACTTAGAGCTTGATCAGTTTGTTAAAGGAATACGTTTGCAAACTTCAGTCCTCAGCTATAGATTGGGGCACTGCCAAGGGGAAGTTCTGAATACTTATTTATTCAGTTTATTTAATTTATATGCTCTCTTTCTCCTGAAGTTGGAAACTCACAGATATAACTAGGAAATGGAGATCCCTGGAGCTCCACTCTCCCTTACTTCCTCCTCCCTTGCTTTTTAGCGACAGAAGAAAGGGAAGGGGAAATTTTCCCTCCTCTTTCCTCCTTTCTCAGAGGGGCGAGGAAGTTTAGAAAAACAAGCAAACAGAAAGTGAGTTGGGGAGGAGACATAAACCAGAGAATCAAAGACAGATTTTTTTTCATTGTGTAATAGTCGCATCCCCTTTCTAGATTAAAAAAGGGCTAAAAAGTATGACAATTAAGTAAAAGACTCAATGGTTAGATGGGCTCAAAACATAGGACTAGAGATAAAACTGGCTCAAAAGGAAAATGCATGGAAGAGAAGAATGAAATACATGGCATGTCAAAACCTGAAGGAAAATGGCTACAAAATACATCTACATCGGTATCTCCCTCCAGAGAGACTAGCGAAGATGTCCAATTACACTGACAAATGTGGGAAATGTGGAAAAGAAAAAGGCACATTTTCCACATGTGGTGGGCATGCAACAAAGTAAAAAAAACCACTGGAAACAGATTCATGTGTATCTTGAAAAGATGTTAAACACAAATTTCAAAATGACACCACAGATGTACCTTTTGAACATGCCAGATGAACTAAAAAGGAAAGTTGGAAAAAAATGTTTTATATGACAGTGGTAGCCTGAATAGTATATGCTAGATATTGGAAAACCTCAGAGATACCTTCTTTAGAAGAATGGGAAAAATACATTACAGATTTGCTAACAATGAACAAAATAAAAGTATGACTATTATGCAGTGAAATATGGTAAGCCTAACTGAATGGATGAATAAAGCACAAATAAGGATTAATTGTAACAGTAAAAGATAGGTGACGCCAGGACTGGGGAGAGCTAAAACCAAGTCTCTGAGTTCCTGTTGGCTTCATGTTGTTGATGGAAAGTGATCAGGAATAATGATCTCTCTCCAATCCACTCATCCTTTTTCCAAATCACATTCTAAACCAATTTCAACATTGCTACTCAGTGTAAGATTATGCTGTTTTATTTAGAATACTTAAATAATCCGTAGTAACCTATGGATGTGAGAGCTGGACCATAGGGAAGGCTGAGCAAAGGAAGATAGATGCTTTTGAACTGTGGTGTTGGAGGAAAGTTCTGAGAGTGCCTTGGCCTGCGAGAAGATCCAACCAGTCCATACTTCAGGAAATAAAGCCTGACTTCTCATTGGATGGAAGGATATTAGAGGCCAAGATGAAGTACTTTGGCCACATCATGAGAAGAAAGGAAAGCTTAGAGAAGACAATGATGCTGGGGAAAATGGAAGGAAAAAGGAAGAGGGGCTGACCAAGGGCGAGATGGGTGGATGGCATCCTTGAAGTGACTGGCTTGACCTTGAAGGAGCTGGGGTGGTGACGGCCAACAGGAAGCTCTGGTGTGGGCTGGTCCATGAGGTCACGAAGAGTCAGAAGCGACTGAACGAATGAACAACAAAAACTTTGATAAGCATCCTTTCTTATGAAACTTGCTATTACATTTATATAAAACATTGGTATGATCCCAATTCTGAATACTTCAGTGAACAATAAGAGTTCAACTGCTATTTTTGTGGCTGTTTACTAGAAACAAAGTGGGCAGAAAACATCACAGAAAATTTCAAATTCTCTTTTATTATTTCAATAGAAAATAAATAGATTTTTTTATTGTGTTTTTAGTTCTCTTTGAGAGAAAAGTTGGATACAAATCAAATAAATATTATTTTGGGGCTTTATGAATATTTCTTGATCATCGTTTAGTTGTTTACATTGTGGTTATAAGTTATGTAAATAGACTATAAAAGTACATTCTAATTGCAAATTAAGTGCAAGAAATGAGTTTTCGGGTAAATGTTATTCAGAGGGAGATGGCCAATTTGATTTTCCATGTGCAAGATGAAATGGAAATTTGTAAAAGAATTTAGGTGATTAGGTAACTGAAGTGTGAAGACATAACCCATTAAGGGGTGTCATGCCAAATTAACATTACCATGCTTTTTTAATGACCTCTCATTTGTATAATCCCTATTTACACTTGCACCTGATCTTGGCAGGATGGTGGCCATCTTGTAGGATCACAATAGAAATACCTACTGTTTTGAAAAGCGAATTTATGCTCATATAAGACTACATTGTCTTCTTTTCATAGATGGTTATGAATAGTGATTTAATTTGTTCAAATATAATTTTGATTAACATACATTGTACCCAAAAGACTTGTTATAGATGAGAGGAAGAACATTTAGATGTCACTGAACTGAAACTCAGCAGCTTTTACC